GCAGCAATCCCAAAGTGGCCGAAAGGAGCGGTATAAACAAATGTTCAGCTGGAATGAAAGAGCCGCTCCAAAAATATTAATATTAGGGACAGAATAAATTATATGTGGGTTTACTGTCCCTGAGCAACTGAGAGATGTAAGGCCCCAGTAATCCAGTGACCAAACTGGGGGTAAGGAAAAAAACCTCTAATGCAAATTAATGGAGAATAAAGGGAATTTAACAAATTAAGAGTTATAAAATCATTTATAAAAAAATCATTTATAGTTGTTAACAAATATTTCACCATTTTCCCTTATTAATCATTCTATTTTTTTCTAATGCTATTTTATTTAGATTTTCCCACATGAAAAATATTCTTTTTAAAATGTAATGGGGGAATATACCAGATGCAGAGTGATTGAGAGTTATGACCTGTCTGTGCTTAATAGAATTGTGTCTAAGAACTGTTTAGTAATTATGCAAAGCAGCTGAGACTCAACATATGTTGTTCAAACATTTTTAATTGCACCACCAAAACTTTCAGATGGCCTATTTTTAATTATACCCTTTAGCCAAATCATCAATACAAATTTTGCTAACCAACCAACTGGATTTGCTCTTATCGCACATACAAATGTGAATGGGTACCTTAATTAACTACTACGAGCAGCCAACAAAAACATAAGCAGAACTAATTTTACATGTACTGAGGTTTACACAGAACAGATCGTGAATATGAAGCATTTCATGATATTTTGGTCAACGTCTTCTTCTGCTGAAATAATGATAACAGTTTATTTTTCCACTTTCTACTTTAGGTAAAATGTGAAATGTTGGGATGGATATCTGCTGGTATTAATTCTAGAAATTATTAAAATTTACTTTGTAATTATGTATTGACTTGTTTAGCTTTTAGTTAATTTGTGACCAATCAATGTGCTTTAAAGCTAGGACTATATCTACAAAAGTGGGTTGCTCTGGAAAGTTCAACCAAACAGTATTTCAAAATAGCTAGCATTAATCTTGTAGTGCTAATATTGGAAATGTATTTTGTATGTCATAAAACTTTTGTGAGAAATTCTGATGTTATTAAGTGAAATTTATTCATTAGTTTAAAAATGAAGCCTCATAAAATAGCTTGTGAAATGAATAATATGCTTAGAGAAACATGTCAAACTGCAAATTATTCAATCTCTCTTAAAAAAAAAGCGTTTCTGTATGTTTTATTCAAACTGAATACACCTTTCAATACTTTTAAAGACAATTTTTACCTTTTCCCACTTTTAGATTCAGTCTATTCATTAACAAGATTTTATACATTCCTATACAAAAAAAAAATATTCTAGGTTATTCTCCAAAGTCAAACTTAACCTGAGATTACTCCTAAATAATAGCTCAGCAAAGTCACAAAAGTATTTTCGATGATGACTTAAAGGGACACTATAGTCACCTGAATAACTTCAGCTTAATGAGGTTGTTCAGGTGAGAACTATAGCTCCCTGTAGCCTTTCTGAGAAAATACAGTGTTTACATTGAAAGCTAGGAACACCTCCAGTTGCAGTCACTCAGAGTGAACCAGAGGGACTTCCGAGTTGATGGAGGCATAATATGCCTCCATCCACTCAGATCTGCTGTGCACGAGCATCCTGTGATTCAGTATCTCCTCCCACTGTATGGAGACACTGAACTTTCCTCATAGAGATTCATTGATTCAATTCATCTCTATGAGGGGATGCTGATTGGCCAGGGCTGTGTTCAGTGGTGGATCCATGGGATGCAATGTGTCTTCAAGGACCGGAGGGGAGATCCAGTGGTGGATCCAGAGCCTGATCTCGGGAGGAGCACTTGTAGATTATTGAAAGAAATAATCCAGGCACAATAACCACTACAGCTCAGTGTAGTAGTTATGGCGCCAGTAGTGCCAGGATCCCATCCCAGAGTAAGTAGTAAAACTGTTTAAGAACAGTTTGACAACTTACCTGGGGTCTGCTGGGATATAGGGCATAAGAGCAGTGGTATGTGTTAGGGATGAAGTGTGTGTGAAAGGTGCAGTGTGTGTGTGTGAGCAGTGAAGTGTGTGTGCGAGTGCGTGAGGGCGGCAGTGTAGGTCAGGGTTGCAGTGTGTGTGTTAGGGGGCAGTGTATGTGTGGGGCAGTGTGTGTGTGAGAGAGCTGCATTGTGTGTGTGTGTGTGTGTGTGAGCAGTGCAGTGTGTATGTGAGGGTGGCAGTGTGTGTGAGAGTTGCAGTGTGTGTGTGTTTGGGGCAGTGTGTGTATGGGGCAGTGTTTGTGGCACAGTGTGTGTAGTGTGTGTATGGGGGCAGTGTTTGTATGGGGGGGAAGAAGGGTAGAGAGTTTTTTTTTAAATTTTATTTAATTTAATTAAAATAAATATATTGATGTCCCCCCTCCCTTCTTACCTTTACTGGGGAGGATGGGGGGACATTTCTTAGTCCCTGGTGGTCCGGTGGGGAATCCCTGGTGGCCCAGTGGTTACAGTGAACTCTAGCCCGCGCTCCAGGGCTAGAGTTCACTCACGCAAGATTTGGAGCATTGCCGTGGTAACCACGGAAATGCTCCATGCTCGCGAGAGGAGGACCCGGAGGAGCTGCAGGTAAGAGCTCCCGGGTCCTCTCTCCCTCCCCTGTCGGCTGTCAGCACGGTGCCTGCGGACCGGGGAGGGAGATCTCTGATCTCCCCTTCGGTCCTTGAAGGCACATTGCAGGGCTGGCACTTGGACAATGCCAGCCCTGCATTAGCCGGCAGAGGAGAATCTCAGGGGGGGGGGGCAATTGCCCCGTTGCTCCCCTGGATCCGCCACTGGGGAGATCAGAGATCTCCCTTCCCGGTCCGCAGGCACCGTGCTGACAGCCGGCAGGGGAGGGAGAGAGGACCCGGGAGCTCTTACCTGCATCTCCTCCGGGTCCTCCTCTCGCGAGCATGGAGCATTGCCGCGGTTACCACGGCAATGCTCCAAATCTCGCGTGAGTGAACTCTAGCCCTGGAGCGCGGGCTAGAGTTCACTGTAACCACTGGGCCACCAGGGATTCCCCACCGGACCACCAGGGACTAAGAAATGTCCCCCTCCTCCCCAGTAAAGGTAAGAAGGGAGGGGGGACATCAATATATTTATTTTAATTAAATTAAATAAAATTTAAAAAAAGCCTCCCTACCCTCCTTTCCCCCATACAAACACTGCCCCCATACACACACTACGCACACTGCCCCACAAACACTGCCCCCATACACACACTACACACACTGCCCCACAAACACTGCCCCCATACACATACTACACACATTGCCCCACAAACACTGCCCCCATACACACACTACACACACTGCCCCACAAACACTGCCCCCATACACACACTACATACACTGCCCCACAAACACTGCCCCCATACACACACTACACACATTGCCCCACAAACACTGCCCCATACACACACTACACACACTGCCCCACAAACACTGCCCCCCATACACACACTGCCCCAAACACACACATTGCAACTCTCACACACACTGTCACCCTCACATACAAACTGCAACGCTCACACACACACACACACACACACACTGCAGCTCTCTCACACACACACTTCCCCACACACACACTGCCCCTAACACACACACTGCAACCCTGACCTACACTGCCACCCTCACGCACTCGCACACACACTTCACCGCTCACACACACACACTGCACCTTTCACACACACTTCACCCCCACAACACATACCACTGCTCCTATGCCCTATATCCCAGCAGACCCCAGGTAAGTAGTCAAACACTGTTTTTAAATGGTTTGACTACTTACTCTGGGATGGGATTCTGGCACTACTGGCGCCATAACTACTACACTAAGCTGTAGTGGTTATTGTACCTGGATTATTTCTTTAAATAATATACAAGTGCCCCTCCCGAGATCAGGCTCTGGATCCGCCACTGGCTGTGTTTGAATCATGCTGCCTCTGCCCCTGATCTGCCTCCTTGTCAGTCTCAGCCAATCCTATGGGGAAGCCCTGTGATTGGATCAGGCTATCACATGTCAGCAGACTGCTTGTTTTTCCTGAGTTTAATAGCATGCAGATTTACAGCTTCTGGCTTGAATACAGTAAGATTTTTACTATATTTATGGAGGCATGAGGGGCCCAGGGGGGCTAGATGGTCGTGTTAACACTATAGGGTCAGGAATACATGTAGTTGCACTGGTGACTATAGTGCCCTTTTAATTCCTTGTGGAATGTAAACTTACTGGAGTAATTTAAATTCAATTCATGACTTGCTAAAAACTACCCACAGTTTCTTGTTTGGTTGAGTATCCGCATACTAGGCTTCTGAACCAAAACAATGGATACTCAGTGTCATGAACGCACCCTACTTCAAGAGTGTGCATGATGTAGTTGTGGTGGTGAAAGGGTTCACTATTTGTTTTGAATATTTTTATTGTTTTCACAATATAAGTGCATATTGCAAACTGATTCGTAATAAAGCAAGAGTTTGCCCACGCAGTGGCTTAAGCAGTTATTTATAGCATTCATTAAGATGAAAGGTCGCCTACGTAGAGGCTTAAATGTTAGCACATAGGAATAAATGCAGATTATCGCCTGCGCAGAGGCATATTGATCAAAACATATAGGCTTTCTTGAACTTTGCAGGGAGACACTTATACGCATTACAGCATAAACTGCATGTACTGAACTAATGCTACACACCAGGCTGGCTTCGCTTGAATGTTAAGCTTCATGGTCATTTACCTTATAACAGCGGTTTATGAGTCTTATGCACCTATTTCGCTCCGGCGGTGGCTGAGCATGATCACTCGCAGATGTATGAGGCAGATACAGCTAGTGTGATATGACGGTCAGACAGCGTGAGTCGGTTTAATAAATCTTAGGTGGGTGCAGTTTGACCACGTCTAGCTAGGCCTGAACCTGTTGGTCAGCTGCAAGTACCCTGGGTGCATCAGTTTAGTACTCCACAGATGGGTGCAATTCAATTGCGTCTAGTTAGGCCTAAACCTGTGTAACATAGCAAACTAACAAAAGGCAAATAGTAGTGCTGTCTATAACGCATTTTCATAGCTGCGTATTGTTGCTTTAGGCACTCGTAGCAGATATGATATTTTGGTCAGGCAGTGCTAGGCAGTGTGCGGTCGCAGCTATTGGCGTTGTATCAGCGCCTAGTAAATTATAGAATATGTATGCAATAAAGATGGGCACATAAAATATAAAAACGATGACAATAAGGGAGTAATGGAAGTTAACACATTATATCATGCTGTTGCCTTATGGCTACGTTAAGACTTAGTTGTTTATCATGTAACAGCGCTGAAACAGTCACGGTGCAGGCATGCGACAATAAAAGAGGCGCATTGGTTAATAATTGACGTCAGTAAACATAGTAATATATGAGCAGGCTGAGAGTAACCCTCAAGGTGTCACCTTAGATGTTCATTGAAGGAGTTATTTTCAGAGAGTCGGGAGCTAAATGTTCCATCTAATCATTATGTGTAACTCCGTGTGCAGTCTGAATTATATAATGCAGTTGGTCAGGGTCCGTTTGCGTGTCGATATAGCATGGCATTAACATAGTATTAATTAATATAGGCATGCGTGCCCACAGTACCTCCTGACATGTAGGTAAAAACAGGCCCTTACGCCTGCAGTCAGCTGTCGTGAGTGTAATATGGGACGTAGCGATTTATATACGGAAACCAGTAACTCATTTCTAAAGCCCGCTGAGGTAGTGTACCCTAACATACTTATTCAGTTGTGGGCTTAATTATGTACATGAGTTTGGTCGTTATATTACTTATAAGTCTGATACTTGTATCCATTGGTGCAGTGTGAATGCTGTGTCGTGAAGCTAGGGTCTTGGGCATGTGGCTGGATATCTTATAATGTTGTAATTCAGTTATTAAACAAGATCTAATTAACAGTATTAGACTTATGCCCTTGGGGGCTCTTTAGCATGAGATGTCATCCTGTGTGACAGTCCCAGGTCTCTGCTACAGCACAGTCCTAGGGTCGCCGAACCTCCTTCCGTCTTCTCCCCACCAACTCCAGTCCACTGGCTGGGTCCTCCACGGTGCCATGGGCACTCAAGGGCTGAGGCTGTCCACTCGACCCCACCCCAAAGTCTGCGGCCCACCCGCCCCCTGCACCTCCTCAACACCGCGTCTTTCCACAAAAAGTGTGCACTCCCGAGTCTCACCCACTGTCGGCCTCACTCTTGGGGCCGGTACACATCCCACATGGCCACCGGTCTGCCGGAAGGGCAGCACACTCCTGCCCCACAAGGGTCACGGCAGCGGGGACATAGCTCTCCGGGGACCCCCATACCCAGAGGCCGGGGTACTTACTGCTCCAGCGGGTGCAGGGTCAGCGCAGAGGTTCCATCTGGCGTCAGCTTCGCCTGTTCCTATACGAGCAGCCCATGCCAGACCCCCCTAGTGGGTGCGTTGTTCCGCTTCACCTTCTGGGCCCCCACCAGCTCATTCTTCTCCTCTGTCATGGTGCACTTTCTCCATTACGTCTGCCTCCACCGTCCCTGTGTTCCGTTTTTCTGGCTAGCCTCATCTTGGCAGCCTCTGCCAGTGTAGGGGCGCAGCGTGGTCCCCGAGCGGAGGTGTCCGTCTCAGCTCGCTCCGTCCCCATGGGCCGGGATCTCCCCCACCGGCTCCCCCAGAGCCAGCGTGGTTCTTTGTGAGGGTGTTTGTCTCCGGGGTGCGTCTTCCGTCCGAGCGGGCCGCCAGCTTCTGTGTTTCACTCTTACTCCTTCTGATGGCAGGCTTATGTCGGCAGCTAGGCCGGATTTTACCATGGCTGCGTTCCTTGTAAACTGTTGGACCTTTACGGGTGTCATTTTATAGCTGGAGTGTTTCTCCACCTCAGCATGCTCGGGTGTCCAAGTTTGGGGTGAGTTTTGTGTTGTTTTATAGCCATTGTTTGGGGCTCGAGCTCGGAGCCATGCTTGTCTGCTTCCAGACGGCCCGGCGGCCTGGCCCTGCCAAAGTTCACTATTTGTCTGCACTTGACTGGAAATAATGACAAAATCCCTCTTAACACCACCCACACTTAAGCATAATAATAAATATTATTATTTTAACGTTGCCACCATGAAGACAATTTATAAATGGGATGCCTCTGTCCTCCAGGTAAATCAACAACAAAAACCCACCAAATACAACTTAGCACAATATTCAAGGAATTGTAACAATATTCATTAGTCTCTTCAGGTAACGTGATTCTTTACCAGACAAAGGCAGAACTTAATAAAGGAATATTTATTATGAGCAAAAAATAGTCACAGTGCATACAAAAATATAGATATAAATCAAAAATATTTACACCAACAACAGATAAAAACAAAAAGGATAAAATAACAGAAAGTCCCAATCACGTACTCAGCTCTTCAAAGTAAATACTTCTGCCCCAGGGGGTATCTGGTAGGAAAGATGGTGACTCACTTAGAATTAGATTCTGCCCCTCAAGCAAGTACCAGGCACACTTCAGTATCACTAGAGATACACCCTGTGGATTACCAAGCCTCACCCAGAGGTGGAGTTAAGACGTATCTATAGAGACACTAAGTGACCACCCCCTTGTGTCCAGTCCCACATCAATCCAAACGGAATCATTTAGTTCTATCTTCTCTTATGTACCTGCCACAGAAATAATAATTGGAGATGCGAATTTGTTATTAGTTTTCAATTCCATATGTCACACACCTTACTTGCGACCCAATATTGCGGCCATCTCAATCCATTCCCATATGGCTAAGTTATGCCAAACATGTTTGGGCTTGTTTAGAAGATGGCGCTTGTCACATTCCAAATATAACAAAAATGAGGCCTAATTCTTATTCTGTGGGTAAATATTAATGTTTTTTACCCTTCCCCGCTCCCCAATCCAAATAAACACGTGCCATTGGCACTACAAATTCTTTTAACTGCTAGAGTTCTGCCAGGAATTAAGTCCTCAGAGCGCACTAGCTCTGGACACACAAGAGTCACATCTGCCCCAGTGTCCCTGAGCCCCACAGTTATCTCCATTCCAACTATCACAGGTTGCAGATTCACATAGTTGCAGCCCCCTGATCTGGTTACAAACAACACAGAGGGTGTTGGTTCTGAGGAGCATCCCTCCCCAGCTGATGATGCTGGCTGCCATTTCCCAGGGCAAGTAACACTGATGTGCCCCACTTGGTTGCAAATAAAACATCTGCTACAGGCTATTATCTCCTTGTGCAGAAATGGCACTAGCGCCCCCTCTCCCTGAGGTAGAAGCTGAAACAAAAGATGGCCCACTAGGCCTGGTGATGGGGAGTCGTGGTGGTGTGGTCTTCCAGCTGGATGCTCCCTTGGCAAAACCTCTGCTCAAGTTCATTGTTGCTTGGTTGGCAGTGTGGAAATCTGCCAGCTTACCCACTTTGAATGCTGTTTTAGGGTTCTGGTCCAGCAGCCATTACTGTATATCGACTGGGCAGAGCAGCAAAAACTGTTCTTTCATTAACAGGTCTAGCAAACTTTCCAAAGTGGTAATCTCCAGCCCTGTAATCCACTGTCAGAATGCTGTCATCAGGTGCCCCACAACTGCTGCATAACTCTCTGTGGGACACTTCCGCAAAGTCCTAAATTTCTTTTAGTACACCTCAGGAGTAAGTTTGTACCGTTCCTGCAAGGCAGCCTTAATCGCATCATAGTTCTGGTTAAATTCTGCTGTAAGCGCAGCAAAATGCTTCCAGTGCAGGACCCCTGAAACCAGGGGTGAGGTATTATGTTCACTGGTCTTTTGGTAGCTGGTACTACCTGCAAACCTATTCAAACCTTTGCAGGAAAACATCCAGATCACCATCTTTATCCAAAGTTGGAAAATTCTCTGCACGTGGTTTGGGTGCAGAAGAGTCTCTGGAATTAATACTCATAGGTGATGCACTCAATCTTTCCAACTCGGACATTTTTAGCTCTTCCCTCTCAGCTTCCTGCTATTTAAGGATAAGCTGCAGTCTTTGGTTTGTATCTGCTGAGTCCACATATATCAACAGAGTTTGCAAGTAAGATTCCAAAGGATCGCTGGAACTCGGCACATCACTGACAAAAGCTGCAGGTATCTCTTCCTTAATTATTATTCTGTGGGTAAATATTAATGTTTTGTTCTTTTGGATATGATACTGGAAAAAAGCTAATGGCCATTAACATATCAAAGAGATTAATTCATCAATTAAGAAGTACAGGTCATATGGCTGAAGCCAGACATTCAGGCTTTTCAAGTGTAGAATCTCACACCGTGCAGAGCCTATGATTAATTCACAGGATCCATCCATATAGTAAAATCCTTTTCACATTCCTATGCAATTTACATTACCCATTCTGTCATCTAACCTTTAATACAATGAAATTAATCCCTTTTGACATTGACAATATTCCATCTTTACCAGGCAGGCACTACACAAATTACATTAAAGGATAATATTCCATAGTGCAATAGCGAATTATACACTCTAGGCGTGACACTCAGTATTCTAACACCTTAGTATATTAAGGAAAGGACGGAGTAATTATAATTTATTTGGCGACTTTTCCATAGTCAAGTAAAGTACTTTATTTTTATCGTGGTTACAGAAATGACACAGGATCGAATTTAACGTATGTTTTCATATACTTATCGCTAGTTGTGCTAGATCTGATGTGATTTAATGCCCTAGTTTTGGGACCAAAATGGATGTGTGGAAAATAAAAAGAAGGAATAATGGTAATGGTATTAGATCGAATGTAATGAAAATTACATTTATGAGAATTCATACAAATACTTTATATAAAATAGTTGTTAGAATACTTGCTCTAATCTACAATGGAGTCTGCTGGATCACATCTCATCTATTTCTTACCTTGGGGCTATAAAAGGATCCATGTGGATTGAGCAGTGGTTTGTCAACCAAAAGCCTGGGAAGGTATTGCTCATTCTATAATACCAATCAATATGCATTTGTGGAAAACAGTGGAATTCTCAGAAAACCAGTTGCCATGGAAACAGGCAAGTTCACTGCTGGGTTACATATGGAATCAAATCATAATAACTGTGCATCTTTTGTAAACCTAACCTTTTGCATTTGTAGTTCTTTAAATATTTCAGTTAGTGTTTAACATTGCATATGACACATGTAATATTCATGGTGGTCAGTTACGTTTGAGCTTATTTACTGAGATTTAAAAAAAAAAATGTTTTGCTTGTCCTGGTCAG